AATTATGAATCAGTTGTCTTCAACATTCTCGTCACAGCCCCCACCTTTAGCTGAAATATGCATCTGCATATTTCAAGTATTTGTAACATACAAGATTTCGAAGGGGCAGAGGAACTAGAGACCAAATTGCTAACATGTGCTGGATTATGGAGAAAGCCAGAGAGTTCCAGAAAAGCATCTACTTCTGCTTCATTGACTACGCAAAAGGCTTTGACTGTATGGACCACAACAAACTATGGCAAGTTCTTAAAGAAATGGGAGTGCCTGCCCACCTTATCTATCTCCTGAGAAATCTATATTTCCTGAGAAATCTCCTGAGAAATCAATCAGTTCTTCCATATCCAGTTCTAACTGTTGCTTCCTGACCCACAAGAAGCAACAGTTAGAACTGGATATGGAAGAACTGATTGATTCAAAATTGGGAAAGGAGTACGACAAAGCTGTATATTATCCCCCCGTTTACAGTGGACCCTCGACGTACACACGGCTCGACCTGCGTACTTTTCGAGCTACGGACTTCTCTGGCAGCAAGATTTTCAATCGACTTTTTCAATCGACTTGCAGCCAGAGAATCGACCTACGGACCAGAAGAAGGAGGCGGGAAAAACGCCAAATTCAAATTTAATGCTTTCCCCGCCTCCTCCTTCCAGTCCGTAGGCCGCCGATCTGCCTCTGGATGCTTTCCAGGGCTTCTCCGTTGCCATGGGAGGCATCTTGGAGATCCCCCGTGCTGCCACCACTGCTGGGAGCCAAGCGGCAGCGGTGGCGGGGGAAGTCCAGGATTCCAAGCATGGCCAGAATCACCTGGCACGGCTCGGCTCCCAGCAGCGGTGGTGGAGGACCTCCAAATGCATCAGGGCTTCTCCACTGCCATGGGAGTCACCTCGAAGGTCCCACCTGCTGCCGGTAGTGCCTCCAAAGCACTATCGGTGGCAGGGAGGACCTTCAAGATGCCTCCCATGGCAGCGGGGACACTCATGAGCTTGCCTTGAGACCAAATTCTAGGATGAGGGTAGAATATAAAACAGATGAATAAAGCAAGTTATCAGAAGGTGTAGATTCAGCAGGTGATAACAAAAATGGTAAGAGATATGGGTCATTCTGGGACGTGGTGGCGCTGTGGGCTAAACTGCAGAAGCCTGTGCTGCAGGGTCAGAAGACCAAGCAGTCGTAAGATCAAATCCACGTTCTCCAACCTGGGAAAGCCTGCGTCAGTTGGGGGCAGGGGAGCTCCAAGAGGCCTCCGGCAGCGGTGCTGAAGCCCTTGGAGTTCTCCAGCAGCGGTGATGGCGGCGGCGGGGAAGCTCCGAGAGGCCTCTGGCAGCAGCGCCGAAACCCTCAGATTCCTCTGGCAGCAGTGATGGAGGTGGCGGGGGACCCCTGGATGGCTTCAAAAAGGTAAGGTTAATTTTTTAAAAATGTATTTTACATTTTTTTGGGGGGGGGTTCTTGGGCCGGTTATGGATTAAATGGTTTTCAATGCATTCCTATGGGAAATGCATTTTCGACCTACGGACTTTTCGACCTACGGACACCGTTCCAATACGGATTAATTCTGTAGGTCAAGGGTCCACTGTATTTAACTTATATGCAGAATACATCATGTGAAAGGCTGAACTGGAGGAATCCCAAACTGGAATTAAGATTGCCAGAATATCAACAACCTCAGATATGCAGATGATACCACTCTGATGGCAGAAAGTGAGGAGGAATTAAAGAACCTCTTAATGAGGGTGAAAGAGGAGAGTGCAAAAAATGTTCTGAAGCTCAATATCAAAACAAACAAACAAACAAACAAAATCCAAGATCATGGCCACTGGTCCCATCACCTCCTGGCAAATAGAAGGGGGAAGATATGGAGGCAGTGACAGATTTTACTTTAGTTTACTTTAGAAAGATGAGTGAAAGATGGGTGAAACAATGGAGAAGGGGAAGAAGTGCATGAGGTTGGGATGGAGAAGAAAAGTAAAAGGGGACTCAGCTCCCTGTCCTGCTTAGTGTTTGAACCAAGAAATCAGGGGACAATTCCAGATAAGTAGATAGGCATATTTGGTAGTTTATTGAGCAGTAATTACTGTCCCCACGTCTGGACACAAATATCGGGAAAATCATTGAAATATTCAACAAAAAATACCAGAATGATCCCAGAATGCCTGGGGATAACACTACTGCCTGGAAAGGCTGTGAGTTGCATGATAGAGGAGAGGGAACTGTTTATTTATTTGAAAGCTCATCCCTAAGGTAATTGTAAATTGGGCAAGGGACAGAACCCAAAGTAAGTGTGATCTCTGTCTTTTCTCTTTCTATCAGCTGCTTCTTTTCCTCCCACAACAGATTGCTCCCGCCTGAGGTTTAAGCTGATCACTTGAAGCCCTCCATCTCTTTCTATGACTAAACATTTCAGCTCCCCGTACCGCCCCTCACCCATGAAATTAACCTTACTCCTGGAATACTCTGCAAAGGTTCCTCAAATTCAAAGGCACCACATCCTAATAGGTATTTACAAGATTGCATTTTATGGGTGCTCTGTAAATTTAGCTGTGCTTTGAGTTTCCACCAGGCAAAGAAATTCCAAATCAACTAGCTCTATGTGAAAAAAAATATTTAGAGTGCAATTCGTTAATGACTGGCCAGTTAGCAGCATATATACCTTTTCTAGTTCATATTTGTTTTGTTGTTGTTGTTGTTTAGTCATTAAGTCATGTTTGACTCTTCCTGCCCCCAAGGACCAGAGCACGCCAGGCCCGCC